TAAACTAAATGAAAAAAGTTTCTTCCAAGCCTCTCGTTAATCTCTCCCTGAACCTCCTGCATTTTAAACAACTGATAAGGGACTCTGCTGTTATGATACTGAAACACATAAATAAATGTTCAGTTTTATGGGTTTTGTTGTAGACCAGTTCCTAATAAAATTGAGTAATTTATAGTAGATTCTTCGCAGTGGAATTAATTTGTGTTGTTCTGACTCCCTACCCGAGAGAAGTGCTAAAAAGAAGAGTTGCTCTAAGCCCCAGTGTGCCTTAACAGAATGGAAGACAAAAAGATTTCAGTATCAATGACAATTATTGCTTATCTCAGTGCAAATAAAGCAACTAGCATTAAAAATCCTGCACAAATACAGATATTTTTTCCCAGAAAATGTGCACATTAGTTTGAGTGAGGGCCCCATCTGCATTGGCCATTTGAAATGGAAGTTTGGGACTCTTGATCTCAAGCGATTGGCTAACGGGCACTGCTGCACCATTCAGCTACAATCAGCTGGGTAGTCAAGATATATATGTATTTTGATGTTGCCAGCATTGCTTAACAGCCCACTGTTCCCATTTCTGGGCTTATCTAGAGGTTTGTGGCTGTTACAGAAGCATTGTTATAAGCATCTCATGCTACTATTCGTTATGAAGCCACTGCCGTGCCATCGGGGGCTAAAACCAACAGAGATGGAGACAGCTGGTTGCTCTAACTACGCGTCTTCCTGAAGAATGTTTCAATGTCCTGCCCCCTCTGGTGGCTGCTCAAGACCAATAATTAAGATGAAAAATACAGTATTTCCCAGAAATGGAAATGTTGCGTGCCCCCATTTGCTCTCTCCAGGCAATTCAGCTTTTAAAAGAGATGGAGCTGTGGGATGGGGTTAAGAGTAGGAAGTTACCTCTGTTGGGAGGTAGTTGCATTGGAAGTTCCCCAGTAGATTTGCAAGTTCGAAGCGGCAGAACGTGTGTTAACTTTCCACTCATTTTTCAACAGCATTTCATGTTTATACTGAAATTTTTTTCTAGTGAGAGCAGGCTTTTCAGTTGAAGTCACTCTTAGCAACAAGATACTTTGAAGAAGCTTGCAAAATAAACAGAGAAAAACAATGGCGCTGTTTGGTGTGAGTTGCCTTCTTCTTTTTCTTTGCTTGTCTTCCAGAGACAAGAGTGAATGCTGTAAAAGCTATTGTTTTCTGCTTTGGTGGTCTTTTTGGCAAAATCTTAAGCTATTCTGAGTTTGTGGAGGAACTGAAATAACGTTGAGTCAGTTATTTTTCTCCTGATGGTTATGTTTATATTTTCCTTGAGAAGAAAAGCGGTTCTATCATATTAAAAGCAAACAAACAAAGAAGATAATTTTCCCATGCTTGAAGGGCAAGAGAGTCACCAGTCACAGAAACCTGTTCCTGTCTAAAAGCAATTTAGACATTTCCTTCTGCAGCTCAATCTTTGAATGCGGAAAAAAGGCGTAATGTCCATGCTATTGATTAAATATACACAGCACAGTTTTGTAAATAAACACTAAATTTGCCAAATAGTTGTGGTATGAATAGCAGATCTTTGTGTCCTGATGTTTTCCTTCATTCTTCTACAGTGCTTAAATCTTGGCACCAGTCTTCCCAACCTCAGCCAGGAGCCTTTGACTTTTTCCACCTCATCTGCTCCACCTGCCAGCTCCTTGACTTCTTGCACTTTATCCTGCTGCTGAACAAGGATCATATATTTCTCCCGTACTGGCTGTATTTGTGTAAGGGCAGCAAAGGTTTTGTAAGGAGTGGGTACTAATATGAAGTGGAGAAAATCTCTTTAAGTCTGCACTATAGGAGGTTGGAGGAGGGTCAGTTGGTATGGATTGAGAGATTGCAAGTCTCTGGCGGTGTGCATTGTGGATTGGAGGACAGGTTCTGTCTGCAGAAGACCCAGCTCTGTGGTGTCTGTGCCAGCTGAACTAGCTGGCAAAATCTGCAGTGGTAAAATTAAAGAGTTGATAGCACTGCACCACCTTTAGGGTAGTTGTCAGTAAATCAAGAAGAGATGTGCCAGGCTAGCACAAAGCCCCGACTACACACTCTTCTCCTCTATCAAGAGAAGGGGATGATGCTGATTTTCCAAAACAATTTGTTAACCAAAATAAACTTAGAATCAAAGAATCCGGTTCTCTAGCTTGTGAATACTAGCTGCTTAGGAATTCCTAGCCTATTTGACTACAGCTACATACACAGAAGGGTATTACTTTAGCAATGCAAAGACAGGGAGAATAGTACTGGTGTCTCAACTGTGGAAGCTTGTGTCTGGAAGGTAGTATCTGTCACTGGGAGTGGAATTTTTTTCTGTAAATCTTCCGTGCTGGAGCGTGGATTGCCTTATTTGTTTATTGTGCGTGGTAGTCCAGCAGACATTCAACGTTTGCTCGAATCTCACATACAGTTTTGGCTTCCAGAGGTTGGAATTGAAGGATATATAGTATTGTGCTAGAAAGACAGCATGTCCCATAATGTTTTATAGCAATTTATGTCTTTGAAATAGAGCAACATCTGTAGTGCAGGATTTGATTTTCAGATCTTTGCATCTATACGGTCTTCTTGCTTTTTTCTGTTAGAAAAGATTACAAAGATATCCCTCAATTCTTCGGGTAACAAGTATAGAGTAAAAGAGAGTCAGCTGTGGGTATACACTTTTGTGACCCAACTTTTGCAAGCCAAGAATTTGCCTGCAGAATGCAGGAATGGGATCTGCAAGTGGGTGTGTTTAAATGTAAAATATATATGTGTGTGTGTATCTATATACTAAAGGGGAAAAAAATTTGCCTGTTTCTTCTGAGCTTTCCTATTCTAGAGGTGTGTGACATCACTTGAATTAGTGCTTGTACATTATGCCAAAACAGCATCTGGAATTGCAGAATTTAAACACTAAATTGAAAGATTCAGCTCTTTGTGTCTCTTGTTACACTTGATACTAAATCAAATTTAAAAGATTAAGTTCACAGTAACTTTAAACAAGTGCAGGTTTTATGTCTGTTTTAAAATGCTAACTGCGTGCTTCTGGGTTTTCATTTCCCTTTGTTCTTTTTAGCAAGACCAGTGTACATGGGGATGATGTGCTTTCACTAAGATTAGCAGTAAACAAAATGTGTAAAACCAAAGGTAATGCTTCCTGTTTCAACAGTTCAATGAAACAGAAGGGAATTGCACTGATTTCCTGAGTGAGCAGGTTGCAGTGGGGTGGCTGGGCTGTGGTGGCTCTGCCGACTGGACGTGGTTTGAGGGAGAACAGCTCCCAGACCCTGTGTTTACACATGCTCTGGATCCTTTTTGTCCTCCTGACTGGTTTATTTGCACAATCTTTTTAGAAGTGGGAAGGTTTTGTCTAAATACTGTTAGAGTATGGCTGCCTACATAACAGGGGACGCTGGTACCAAAGCAACAGATGGCAAGCAAATTTTAGTAGGAAGGTCCTGCCTTATTTTTTGCAGTGCTCACAGGTAAGGAGGTTGCATGATAAGGATGGAAGAAGCCTTTCTGGGTGTATTTGAACAACTGCTGCCACAGCTCTGGTTTGAGCTATACCATGCTGTTTCTAGCGAATAGAGTAGCACACCGGGTGATGAAATGGAGATTGCTGTGAGTCAGAAGCATAATAAATTATACACTGTGTGGCTATGACAGCTCAATAGGAGCACCTGTGGATGGAAAAAGCATTAGATAGAGTGCTGTTGACGTGCAATATTTTTTTACCTTTTTAATGAAAACATAATCAAATGAGCACAGAGACCTTAGAGAAGAAAATATTTCATCTGTACATGAGATAAAACCACACAAACAAACGTGTGCTATTAAGAGAACAAATTTTATTTCAAATGCAGAGCTTTAAGGTTAAAAATACAGTCTGTGAGTATGAAAATATTTTCTTAGCAAGACTCCTATTCTTCTGTATAGACAACTGTTTACTAACACAGGAAAAATGCTTTTCTTTTTAAAATACACACAGATGGAGTCAGAAGCCAAATTACTGTGGTCAGTGGAGATTATATATAGCTGTAAGAATATCCTCTAATTGCATAGTGGATCTTTCTTTAATAAATTATTAAAACCCCCTCTAATTTTAGTATGTTTTTTTCAGAAGGACATAAGCCTTAGTTGCTTCTTTCAGGTAGCTCAGAAGTCATGCAGTAAGGGATATTCTGAACTTAGAATAGAACTGATAATATGTGAATTCTCATAACACAGCACAGTGGGGTTTTTGTAATGCTTCTGTGATAATCTCAACTCCTAGGAGAAGTATTTTCTACTTTCTTTGCATACTGGACCTTTCAAAAATCAAAGATTTAAAAAAATGTATCTAGAGATGGTTGTAGTAACTAATAAATTGTTCAGCAAAGAAGTTTATGCGAGTTGATATGAGTGTACTATGGAGATTATTGTTTGTGAGTGAATCTCATTAGTGCAAATAAGCTACTTGAAATACTCACTGGATAAACAAAACCCTTTCTGAAAACAAAGAAAGATTCTGTACCTAGAACACCCAGAAGTCGAAGAGTTAATGATGGGGCTGCACTGGATTCAGTGTATTTGCAGATGTTGCTGCAACCAACTGCTGATTTTTCTCCCATCCTGTCAGGGAACTCTGCCAGCCATGATTCATGGAATGATTTTTTTGCGCTGAGTAATCTGTGGTTTTTCTTTTTTCCTCTTCCCTCTCCCTTATTTTTACCCTAAACTAAAGTCCTATTCATTTTAGCTAAAGGGAGGGGAAGCTTCCAAAGCATAATACGAAACATTAAATACACTTGTGTTTTGAGTAGGAGAATTTTAACAAACGTTAAACTTCCAGTAATTTTCCTTGGTCTCAGGCAGAGTAGTCCAGTGCAGAAAAACAGTTTTATAACAGAATCAGCTTTTGGATTTGCTAGTCATATGGTGTCACAGTTCTTTTAAGACTTCTGTACTAGTATTGCTAAAGAACATCCAACTTTTGTGCTGATACTATGCCTCCTTTCTCACAGATCGCTCTGAAAGAAATAAACCAGACTGCCGCTCTTCAGGGTAAGAACCATATTTCTGTATTTATTCTTCCCTTCTTTTCCTTTTTTTCTTTAATTTTTTTCCTTTTATGGGATGAACTAGGAAATTAGCCAGAAAAATAAAAATGCCATTCTTCTACTTCTCTGTTTTGGTAACAGTAATGAAATACCAAAATAAGTCTGTGTTAAAGACAATTGTTTCATATTCCTTATGTGCAAAATTTTCCAAGGAATTAAGAGGGCTTACTACATTGTAACTGTGTGCACTTAAAATCTGAAAGGCTTGTTTATGTATCACACACCAGGTTGTTTGGTAAGACTGTGATTTAAGAGAAGAAGCCCTCATGACACTTGTTTCTGTATTCTTTGGACTGTTTTCTTCTGTAGCAGGGAAAATAATTCTTGGTTCACTCAAGAATAGCAACACGTTATTATTTATTCCATTCACTCTGGTCCCATCATACCTAAGGTTTCAAAATTGGGAGAAGCAAAGGAATGATTACTAAATAAAACACACACACACAAATTTTGTGTTTATTTAGAATTTTGATCAACAATTGCCATGAACTTCCTAAGATACTGATTTGCAAGGCCACATTTTCCCTTAAGCTTCTCAATATTCTGTAGTTCTTACCGTCTTGTTTTTAAAAGATCTCTTTCTCTTTTGCCTTATTTCCAAACTCTCCCTCTCAATTCTCCACCTGGGAATAGGATCTCTTCCATATCCTGTGGTGGATAATGGGATTTTAATGAAGTAAAGCGATAGAGCAGACCAGCGAACACTGGCTCTCCCACTCCTTTGTGAAAAGCCTTGCCAAAGGATGCCCCTGGTGTCCAACCTTCTGACATGACCTTTTCATTTGATTTTTACAGTCTGATTTTTTTTTTTTTTTGTTACATTTTTACAGTACAGTGGGGTAGCTTTTTAGCTAGGAGAACAGAGGGAACTGTAGCCTCTTCTTACAGCACAGTTGATGCGTTGTATCTGCTGTGTGATGTGATGGAAGAGGCTGCCTTCCCCCTTCCCTCCCATATCCGCAACAGCACTGTAGCTGTTTCCAGCGGCGTTTTTAAGTTGCAGGGGAGTATTGACTTTGCCTTTGATTACTTATATCTACTTAAAACATCAATCACTGAATTTCCTTTTATAATTAAGAATACTTAACTTTTTCTTCCTAAATTGATGCAGTTACAGTCTCCATGTTTGAAGTTGTATCAGATCGCGTCATATTACAATAATGTCAAATGAATCCAAACCATTATCAAAAGGAAATCTAACTTTATCAAAATGTTTAATTTAAGGTTGAAACAGTTTCAGTCTATTCCGCTTTCTTCTGGCTGGTCCTTCCCACCAGTACCTTTTTTCTCTAGAGTGTATTTTAGAAGTTCTAATTTGGAATCAAAAGCAAAGTAGAACTTTTTCCATTATTTTTTTTTTCCAAGAGTACTTTTTCCATGGAATTGCAATTTCAAATGTGGACCAGCCCTGAAAGCAAAACACTGCCCTAAGTTGTCTGGGTTATAGATTCCAAATTCTCACATGGAAAGCACAGAAAAAATAACACTATAATGTATGTTGCTCATAATGTTGAGAAAAACACAGCTTTCAATAGTCTTCCATTCCTGTCAGTAGTGCACATGGTTTCTAGCCATATCTGTGTATCTTCTGCCCCCTTTTCAGTCTCACTGGGCATCATGTCATGACAGTTCTGCTTTCCAGGATGAGCTATGAAGAAGAAAAGTCATTATTTAAAGGGCAGTGTGGTTTTGTGCATGTCTCTCTGCTACTTTTAGGCCAGAACGGGAGCAGCCTGCCTTACTTAGATGATATACTCTGCTAATTGATAGCGCACCACTCTCATTATAGTTGGAAGCATAATCCTGTGGTGACAAATTGCTGGGTGAGATTCTTATCCCCAGTCTGGCCATATCATGTCTGGGAAAAGAGCTGCAGCCTCATGAAGACCAGCCCCTTGCTCTGAGGGAACTGAGGGAAAACTAAATAGTGACGTATGCAAGACTTAATTAAAGTGGAAAGCACACTTCTCTTGTAACATAGGCAGCATTTCAGAGCTGTTTGAGTTCTACTGGGGACAGTTTTATGGCTTATGCCATTTTATGATGAGCTGCTACACCCACAACACCCTCTCTGGGGGCAGCTCATGACAAGGGAAAAAGAAAATACAATGGCTCAAAGGCATCTTGTCTATTTTTTCCTTAAGCTACACGTTGTGGGATGCATCTCTTAAAAGCACAACCTACCAACCCTCTCATGGTATAAAGTGGAACAAAACTGACCCTGCAGGTCTTCGTACTTGGACTCAAGGTCTAGTAACAATGATTTCTGCACTAGAATTACTATAAAATAATGGAGGTGGACATGGGGGTACTAGTTGACCAGATGATGACTTATGCAATGAGCCTTAAGGAAGGTAGCTATTCTAAGATGAAATAGTGGGTGTAGATGTTGCCCACAAGTCTGTCTAGTTTAATCACATGTGGAATTTGGAATACCGGGATAAGAAGAGACAAAAAAAAGCCCAAACACCACCACCACCAACTTCTCCTCAGGCTCCATAAGGTTAAGTTTTAGCTTAATAAAAAGACCACTGACAATATTTCTTCTGATTGCAGGGGTCTAAATCTTGTCCTTTCCAACACTGTGTTTTCATATGTTTCTGTGTTTGTGTATTTCTAGATCAGCTTGTGCTTGAGTCTTCCCAGTATTAGGGATGAAGAGCGCATATACAATGAAGCAGAAACAGTTTTAAAATGGAGCTTGAACATAATTCATTTGCAATGAGAAGGACATAAAAAACTGTTTGAGATATAAAAGTACATAAATGGCCTTTAATATAGTTCATTTTATTATAGGATGATGCCATTTAAATAATACAGGGTGAGACATGTTTATAGTGGTATCAGGAACTCTGACAAATATTCCAGTTTTGTTACTAGCCTATCGAATGTTTAGGATGGGAGAAATGCTACAGGAAGGTGGAGTGTTCTAAGTGGTAATACTGAGATCTAACATGAGACTGGGAAGAAATTTAGGGATTGGATGAACCAAAGACCATAGGTAATGGTTTGAAAGGAAGGAAACAGATACTAGATAATGCTTACAAAATGTGCATTAATACACTATCTTTGCCTCTTCTGGCAATTAGCAGCCATCTGCCATGCAGGAGAGTTTAGATAAGTGAGGAGCAGCAGAACAGGGCCTGTGGATATCTTTTTCATGTACTACTTTGCACTGATTTTTTTGTTAAATATTAGCACATTAATAAGAACAAAACAGATGTTCCTTGAATCCAAATAATGCTTATTGCTATGCTAAATTTTTATCAAGAGACATTTAATTTCATGACCTAATATTAACCATCCTTCAATTGTTATATTTCATACAGTACTAAAAATATGTGTAGATTGGCAACAGTGATCTGTAATTATCATTATTTCTTGATTTTACTGGCAGGTCGTGCCCTGTTGGCTTTGATAGCTTCAGGTCATGCACTGTTGTAGAACAAGTCAATTAGATCAAAAGAAGCAGACCCTTTAGCCTTATGTCTCTAAATTTTTCAAACTGAACATGATATGATAGTAATGGAATAGAAGATTTCAAGCATCCACATATTTGCAGTTAATCCCTGAAAATGAGTAAAGCTCATAGAAGGAACTGGATTAATTTCATTATGCTTTTTTTTTTTCCTTTGGGGTAAGGAAAAAATCCTGAAACACAGTCTTGTAATGTGATACAATTAATTGTAGTTGCCCTCATCTTGGAGATGAGAGGATGAAGGTAACTAAACACTACAACGATTTATTGAGAGATTTAGTAGTGCATCAATCACTTGATGTCAAGTAAGAGATTTTGGGTTTTAAAATCCAGCAGTCTACCAAGAAAACTTGCCCTCAAAATGAGGAGGGAGAAGAAAATAATTAGTTCATTTCTAGAAGTAGATTCTAGGTTTTATTGGCATAGTCTGCCTGCTGATTGTAATGTGCTAAAGTTCTTTTATGGCTGGTTGCCTTCATTTCATTGAACTAAATTGGGCTTTTTTTATTTAAAATACATCAAGTCAACAATACAAGTAGACACAACCCATCTTTTGTTCCTTTCATAAAGAAGCACTTGAAGTGGCTGATCAAAGGGGCTACAGATCTCTTTAGTGAGCATCTGGTAAATCAAGCTATCATTTTTATGAATGCTGTTTTGTATCTTACTTTGGTTTTAGGTTTTTGGGGTTTTTTATGTGGCATAATTCCATTAGTGAAAGCTTCTCTGCATTTGTTTCCTCTGCTATATAATGATAACCTTATGAAATTGTGTTTAATAAATATTACAGTGTTGGTCTGACTATATCTTAAGAATGTGTTTTCACAGATCATCTGTAAGGCCTGAAAGACACCTTTTAGTTAAGATCTTAAGCTTTCAACAGAGCATGGAGGGAGTCCTAAGCCACAGGCCTGAGAACATAGCGGAACTGTCCTCATGTTACAAATGTGCTTTTACAAATTGATATGTTTTTGAGATACTGAGAAAACGGGTAGTAACAGGGTTTTCTATGTTGTAACCATTATGGTCAGTCTACGGGCAGTCATTTAATAATTCCAGCTTTGCATATCTGAAGGGGAATACGAGAGTCTTTCCTTCTGCCGCAGAAATCTTGGTAGCTCCTAATGCCTTAAGCCTGAGGTTCCAGTTTGAAGCCTCTCACAAATTGCTGCTGACATTGTGCATGTAACAACTTGAGTTACTTTGTCCTCAGGAGTAATTTCACTGCTAATTTTTTGGCCACTTAACAGATTTTGTGTGGTTTAGGTAAATTTGAAATCCCGGGTACTGTATTGGAATTGGGTATTGGAACGAGTGAGAGATGCTCTTGTAACCCTACCTAAGACCTCTGCTTCTCTGTTCTGCCTCAGTCAAATGGACAGTGAGGAGAGAGTTCTGATGCCAGTGTTGCTTCTCTACTGAGAAATCACAAAATGCTGGAAATGGTGGGAAGGGGCCTCTGCAGG